TCCTCATAGCAGTTTGCTTGTAATTCATGCTTGATCCCTGTCAGCTTCTTCTTGATGGCATCCTTGGAGCTAGCATAGATCATTTTGCTCTTAAGGGGTGCACACTCAGGGGCCCAAAAGACAAACACCAGGTCCTCCTTCTTGCTCTCCTTGGTCTCATAGGTTGTATCATACAGGGCGTAGCGGCAGTCTTTGTGCAGCAGCATCTTGACAAAGGTGGCATAGGGGTCGTCCACAGTATGGCCGACATCCCCAACCAGAATCTCCTTGCCCTCCTCCAGGATGATGTTCTTCTTGTCCTCGCTCAGGCAGAAGAGCACCGCCTCCTTGCGCTTCTTCACCTCCTCTGGTGTCGATGATTTGAGCACCTTCATGTCATTGAACACCTTGATGACACCATCAGAGACAGCCACACCGGAGGCCATGTTTCCGGAAGCAAAAGGGATATGGCAAAAAGAGCGAGAGAAGACAAGAGCCGCCGCAGCTGCTGCCCAGATCCGACTGAACGAATTCATGGTGTTTTCAATTACCTCAGATGCATGTGGAAACTGGTTCCTGGGTAAAGAAGACCAAGGAAGAATTGACACTTCTAGATTATGGTGGAGGCTGAACAATATGAAGGATAAACATCTGTTGAAAGACGTGCAGTCAGAATGCTCCATAGATGTGAGTATGAGGAGACTTCATCTCACATACATTCGGCATGTTATCAAGATGGCCCAGTCCCTGGAGAATGTCACCATGTTTAGTAAAGAGAGGGTCGTGGAACAAGAGCAAGACTGTCAACACGAAAACTTGACACAATGGTTCCAACACTCGGTGCAAACAGAGCAATAATTGTGAAGACAGCACAAGCGTGGCCGGCGTTTCTTTCATCTGTGCATGTGGTTGCGAGGAGTAAGAACTGACTAGAAGGCACTTAATAGCAGCAATAATTGCCAAAACGCACCAATTTAGATTCATCTCCTAGACAGACATTATCCTTAGTGAAAGAATCTGAACATAAAAGCATACGTACCGAATAATCGCCTTTCTATAAATATAAAAAATAAACAGAGCTTGTATATGTTGCTTTAGTATTGACTGAGATGGGGTATGAGAAAGACTTTTGGATGTTGGGAATGTTGCATGTGTTGATCTAAGGGGTAGTGACATGGTTAGCTTAGAAACTAATATCATTAAACATATGATAAGCATGCACATGTGATAAAATGAGAAAGAACGAAAACAAGATGATAGGAGCAAAGAGAGAGAGAAAGAAGGAAGCCTTTAAAGGAAAGATTGTGGAGGAACATGATAGAAAGATGTCCATTATTGGTAATATATGGATCCTTGGATTGAGTTAGACTGGGTTATTATTATTTGTATCTATCAAATGGAATATGTTGTTGTTGTTGTTGTT